AGAAAAAAACATATATAAGTCACACCGAACTATAAGTCGCACTTTTTGGGGTAATATATAGTTTTATGAAATCAAAGAGCAAGAAGACGTTTCATCTTGAAAGGCAAGTTATAGTAATAACAATAAAATAGAGAACAACAGGCTGTTAATGTCACATATGAACAGTTCTTCAGATAACTATAGCATAAACAACAGAACAGAACAAATTTACTAAACTCCCCACCTCACTCCAAATCACTAAATCCATTGAATTCTTTATCCTCAGTGTCACTTCTGAGCAACTCTGTGACCTCTCAAGGTAAACGGAGTGCAGCTTCCTCTTCAGTGTAGCTGTTGTCAGACTCAACATCAGTTCCAGTTAGAATTATTTCTGCCTTTCTGAATCCCGACAGGATGGTTTTGGTTGTCACTGAAGTCCATGCTTTGTCGATCCATCCAATGACTTTCAGGAAAGTTGCATGGTGCACCCTCCCAGTTGTCACAAGTTTCTCATTCACTCCAAACTTTCTTTCTGCTGCTCAATTAAATTAAATATTTCACTACTTGCAGCTTGTAATCTGCAAAATATGATTTTCTTTTCGGGGACATTTGTGTTCAGTCTTCTCAGTTCTCTTTATGAGTTTGTTTAAACTTAAAATTTTCAGTGGTACAGAAGTAATGGTGCGACTGACATGATACAGACAGGACAGAGGCTCTTTCTGCAGGAGACATGAGCAGTAGAGTGAAGTGACAGTGGTACAGGAGTAATAAGAGTAGGAGATACTGACACACAAGTCTAGAGCCCCTTCTCATGACTATCAATGTGAAAATTTTAATATATAAGTCGCACCGGAGTATAAGTAGCAGGACCACCCAAACCATGAAAAAAGTGTGACTTATAGTCCAAAAAATACGGTAGTCCTGCATCTCTCGCTGTTTATGAAATCAGATTAGAAGGTTGAAGAAAGTTAAAGATATTAGAGGCTACACTTGTAATAACTTACAAACACATAGTCATGGCTTTGATTGGGGATGCACCAGTGGTACTCGCTCCAAGATATCAGAGTATATGTAATAAGACTATTTACAGGCTCAAAGCTAAAACAGGTCTCATATTGTTTGGCTGCAGGATAACAGTTGCAGCACAATTGGAAAGTCTTGCTGGAAACCTATTGGTGGCTGTGGATTTCACTCCCTGGCCAATTGAATTTGCGTTTGAAATAACTAAATAAATCTGCCTTCGGTATGTTTGGGAGAAATAATGAGTAAACGCTTGTCAGTGATTAATGGCACAATATACAGTCACACCTGTGCCAACTGCAATTACGTCGAGAAAACGTTCCAAAACACAATGAAGCCAAAGTTTTCCAGAAGGACTCTCCGGCATCTCCGAGCCAGGAACAAAAGTGTTGGGAAAGCATGTGTAGAAGTACTGCCGTCATCACCTATGGAGTATAAAAGTACCCCAGGAAACTGTTTTAGTTCACACATTTATCACGTCCACAAACAAGCTACTGTCTGGCCCAATGCCGTGCTCCAAAGCAGCAGATTCCAGCAACAGAACTTGGACATTATGTTATTAAATCTTGGCTCCACATAACTGAAGATGGCTACTTTGGGGATACAGTCTTTTTTTAACTATTTAAAATATTCAGTGGTGAAATTTATAACATTTTAAAAACTCTCCGTCACAGAAATGGATACTAGCTGTCTGGCATTTCTTTTGGACATGTCAGTTACTTCCAGTTGATATGCCATTACTTCACGGAAGCTTTATTAAACAACATTAGATAGTTAGAAGATTCTATATTTATAAATAGTTGCTAACTAGCCGCCAAAAGAGATAAAAATGCAGATTTACATGTAAAATATTGTGTTTCTTTTAATATATGAGAAAGAAGTTTGCATTTATGAAAACGTTTTGTTGTACATTGCTCCCAGTTCCCAGGGGCATGAAATCTTTGTTTGATTGTTTGACTGTTTTTGTTGAAGGATGAGGATGAACTGGTTTTGAGTGTGTTCTGGCTGTGCGCTTCTTCATCACGTCTGTCTCTCTCATTCCCTTGTATCTCACTCTCTGTCAAAACACGTCAGCCTGGTTTTTATCGTTTCTTCTTGGCTACATGTGAAGAGCAGAACTTAAGGTCTGTATGTACTACTGTGCAACGGGAAGAGGTGAGGAAACTTCATTCCCCGGCCATTCCCCGGCATCGGCCAGGCTCCATACTCCGCAGCCAGCCTCCTCTCTACCCGCAGAGTGACCGGGAGAGGAGGGGGAACGAACAGGAAGGGGGAGTCGTGTCTTTCCTCTCGCTCCTCAGATCAGAATGACTGGAAGAGTTCAGTGCCCCATATCAAACTCTTGTCTGTGCGCACTGTGGCTCCTCTCTCATTTAGTCAGATCATTAAAAAGGTACACTTTGAGCCCATTTTCCGTGATAGAGATGCAGCTAGTTTCAGCTCAAGATCTCAAGATAAGCCTGGACTTGTTAAGTGACTTTGATGGAATGCCCCCCCAGTATTGGATGTACAATAACAGAGTAGATGTTGATACACTGCACTAGACCCAAACTAATATAAAACACAATTGTATGTCATATATATAATAGGGGGTCCCAGCTCCAGCTCGCCCTCAGTTTGGGGGTTCCTGGCCTTATTGGAAGTTGTGGACTGACCTGGTCAATCTAATTAGGTAAAATGGTAAAATTTTAATACAGCACCTTGAAAGCAGTCAAAGCTCTTTATATTAAGGAAACACTCACCCATTCACACACACACATTCTTGCTCGAGGACACAACAACAACATTAATCGGTGGGAGTTGGAATCGCATGGCCAATATGTTGATCTGACCACTCTAGCAATGATGTTTTTATGTCAAGAGTGGGATTCAAATAAACACTACTGATGGCTACTTTGTGGATTCTGTCTTCTTAATAATAATCAACCCAGAAACTGTAACATTTTAAGAACTTTCTCCATCACATGAGCACTCTCCACACTGATGACATGTCATTTCTAATCAATTACCCCTCCGTAGAACACTGGTGTATGTTTCGCAGCTCATCAGGCCGTGCGCTGCAGTGGGCATGCTCGGTTCCGGATGGCAGGTTTTTGCGGGCATCTTGTTGGACACCACCAGAGACTGTGCATGAGCTTGTATCACCTCAATTAAACTATGCGCTAAGTGTCTGACAACAGCTAATGCTCCTCTCCCAGCACCGCGCCCAATCGATGTTCTGCCATTGGTCACCCTTCAGAAAAGCAATCACGCTGTTGTCTCGCCATGGTTGGATAGGATTTTAAATATATACACACACGCAGTATACTTCATATTAGGTCAGGTCTGTACATTTGAGCTGCTCATAGTTAAAGCACTACCTCAATTTTAACAAATCTGTGAGTGTAACATCATATTTTGATTGTGTTGTGTCCAAATAATTAAAAAAGTTTTAATTAAAAGAGGGCAAAAACTTCAAATGGATGCATGATAGTGATTTCAGTAATTACAAATGGTATAACAAATTTGTGAGTGTAACATCATATTTTTGTTATTGTATTCTGCCTAAATCATTAAAAAAAGTTTTAATTAAAAGAGGGGAAAAACTTGAACTTGCGTGTGATGGCTTCCCTTTCAGTAATTACAAATGGTATAACCAATTTGTGAGTGTAACATCATATTTTAATTGTATTGCTGAAATTATTAATAAAAAGAAAGTTTTAATTAAATTAGGGAAACGTCAAATGGATGCATGTTAGTACGATGGCTTCCCTTTCAGTAATTGTGAATGGTATAACAAATCTGTGAATGTAACATCAGATTTTTTATTATTGTATTTTCTCTAAACCATTAAATAAAAGTTTTAATTAAGAGAGAGGGCAACAACTTCAAATAGATGCTTCTTGGTGTGATAGTTTCCCTTTCAATAATTACGAACAGTACAGAAAAAAAAAACATCACTCTATTTATAATAGTTTAGTTAACACCTTTAATTGCAAAGTGAGAATATCTGCAGTCTCTAAAGCATGTTGTTTTTTTGTATCAAATGAAAAAAAAAAAAAAAGCTGTTTTGTGTAAAATATATCACTTTCCCCACCTTAGCTGCTATGGTAGTTTTCAAGTTTTACAATGTAATGATGTCATACTCCCAGATGGGGGGCAAGAGAGATTCACAAATGTTGAATCTGATCATTTCTGTTACTGACTAGACTCAAGAACTCACTGTATTACAATAAAAATCTGCATACTATATTTATTTTAGTTGGGTCCCATTTGTATTAAATCATGTAGGCCTATAAAATGTTATGATGTAATCTGAAACCAAGCAATATTTCGTTTTTCTTGTAATTTTCTTTTTCTTATTTCTTAAAGTGTGTACAAAATTACAAGTACACTTAAAGGCGCATTTCTGCTGGAGTGACTGTCAATTGCTTTTCTCCATGGATATGTTACTGCTTTGTCTTTGTCTGTTCAGAATGAGATATTAAACCTTTCTGTCGTCATAGTGACCAAATCAGACCAAGTTACAAGTCAAATCTGTGGAGAGGCAACCCCGCTTACAGTCAGAATGCTTGTTTTATGAATATTTTTAAGATATAAAACAATCTGTGAATTAATAAATGTGAGGTAGAGTTAAATGTCAAATTGGGGAACATCTTCATGAAGAAAAGCAATTGATTCACCATCCACCAGAAAAATTACACGATGCACCTTTAATTTTGGGCACTGCACATGTTTTCATAATTCTTCACGTCCATAAATCTCTAAATACTGTATTTTTCTTTCCTATAATTACTTGCCCTCCTTTTAACTCCTTTAACCATGCATCATTCTTACGTCTTTCTTTTTATCATCATATTCATTTAGCAAATTTTATATTATATACAGTATTTCTGCCATCAAGCACAATGTATTCAGTATCACAACTTTCTAAAAGATGCACCTCAAACCAGCGGTTGCTATAGTGGGATAATCCAGTGTGAGTTTGTGCCAAAGCCACAGCCAATCCAATGTTTTCCTACCTCTCTGTCGAGCAGCTTGGCGGAGATGACGGTCACAATGTCTCCACTCTCCGGGTCGATGTAGAACATGTTTGGAGAGGGTCTGTCAGGAGACTGTTTGATAATGTTGTAGCGTAAAGCAGCATTATCTGTGGCCGGGTCATCTGCATCAAACGCTGTCATCCTCATCACCGTGGTGCCTGTGGGAGATGAGAAACACAGGGTTCAAACTTATGTTACAAAATTATTCAACCTGGAGAGACTGGAGGGAAAGAGGAAGTATTAGGAGTTCAGAAGACATTATGATTAAGGGCATGGGCAGTTAGATGGCGTTTAGGAGATGTCTTGCCCCAAGGCCTGAACACTCGAAGTGGCAGAGGTGAGACAGAAGAGAGTGAAGAGGACGATGAGAGGATGAGAAGTCGAGGGGTACTGGGCAGGAGGTGGGGAGTGGCACAAACCAAAGCAGCCGTGAATCTGCAGGTGGACGGACTGTGCACTGATTGGACAGGAGGGGGTGTTGCAAGAAGTGGTGAGGAATATTTGGAGGGAGATGATGAAGGCTGAGGAGCAGGTATTAGTAGCTTTTGGATTGAGCAGCTCATTTCAACATCATTTCCATGTCTTTTTATTGATCAGAAACTATAAATGAGACCCCTGACCTGCAGTGTGGTGGTGTAGGGCATACTCACTCTAGGTCTCCTCCTCTGGGCCAAAGTCCAAACTCTGCCAGGCTTTGGCACAGTTCGTTTGCACTCACACTGCGCTTTACAGTCTATATGTGCTTGGGCACAGATCGATTGGGCTAATGCAGTTCTTCTCAAATAGTTTGTGACCTTGAGGAAAATGCTTTTTTTTCCGCTGTACTAGAATAAAATTAAATTGCAGATCCACTACAGTAGTTGGCAGTAACGCACGCAGAGTGTGCGCAGGGAGTAGTAGCGCTATAGTGTTGGGTTTTTTTGCACTGAGCATATGCACACACAGAACAGAGCAGGAGATATGAAGTGTCTGTAAATTCTATGTAGCACTTGGCTTCACTGTTACTACGGCGGGAAACGAGGAAAGACCGGTGTGTTTACTGTGTCTAAAAATATTGTCAGCAGACAGCATGAAGCTGAATAAATGATGGCATCACTTAAAGACATTACACCCCAACCACACTGATAAGCTGCCTTAGTTTTTTGGGGGGGGTTTTCTGAGAAAATGTGCCGAATATTGCCAACAGTCATTCTGCTTTGTGACTGCTACTTCAGTTAACCAGTGAGCACAGTTAGCATCATATAAGGTGGCATACCAAAGAGCAGAGGACCTGATACTAATGCAGCATTACACATGGTTTCTGTCATACTAGTGCCCCAAACTATAACATGTTAAAGACGAGGAGGACACAGGAGCGGATCGCCTCATGACGCAGGTGAGCGCAGTGCGGAATACGGATGGACACATGCTGCGTGTGTCCCAGGTGCCGCTTTGGAGACACGTCTAAAACTTATGAAGGCTACTGAAAGTGAAGGTGTGATGTGTCCACATTTGGTAGCGGTTCTGTTGAGTGGGGGACGCGAAATGTTTTCTTCTTCCTGGAGCATGACAGAAAATAATTGAGAAGCACAGGGCTAGTGTGGGTGCACCCTAATGTCATACTGTGGAACATTCCAAGCTAAGAAATAAAATCTCTACTATCCAAAAGGAGAGCACATTTTTAAATGATATTAAAAAGTCTTAGAAATTATTCAATTCAACTTTGTGTTCACAGAAGTATAATGTCATTCTCACATTTATGCTCAACCTACAACATAGCAACATTGAAAAAATATATCGTACAGTTTCCATATCACAATTATGAACCTATTTCCATATCACAACATATCACAATTTCCCTTGTGGATCAAGTCTAAGTCCAACAGTGACTGCTTTGAGAATGAGCTGCCCTTGCGTTTGGCTGGCATCAGGTGAGCTTACGGTGCCGTACATTTCTATGGCACAATCCCATTCCTGTTGAAAAGGCAGTGATTTCAGTGGTACAAACAGCACATTTTCAGACCCGCGGCGCCCTGCTCGGCCTTAGACAGCTGCTTAAAAAGTTTGCCTTTGCTATTAATGTGTTTTCTGCCATGTGTCAGCTCCAACAGCGGGGGGCGTTTTATTTGGTAATGGGAAGAAAAATGAAAATCCTGCTCTTCGTAGCTCTTCTGAAATAGAAAGCAATCGGCAACACAGTCTCCATCTGTGTACGCGTTAGTGATGTGATTGGACCTCGGCGGGCCTCGTGTGCAGTGTATGGGAACACAGGTGCCACTTACTCCAGTCTCCTCACACACTCAGCACGGGGAAGACGGAGAGGTGCACAGCTTGTCTATTTCAAGAGTCGAGTGTGGTTAGAATAATAGACAATTTTAATAAAATTAGATGTGACTTTATAGTACATACAAGCATAAATAAGAGGCTTTTATTTCATAGATTACATTAAATGGCCTGTACCAGATTTTTCCCCCCATTATTTTAGCAATATCTGTCTTGTCCCAGTACAGATTTATTAAAAAATCTGCTCCTGAGATCAACTTTGGACAGTCTGCTAGTTGTTGTTAGCTTTAACTTAATGGCAAAACACATCTCCAGTCTCAGAGAACTTAGAAAAGCCCTTATAAACTCATTAAAGTGAATAGAATTAAGATGCTCGGACTGTATAAGGTAAGTGAGGTAACATAAGTATAACTAGTTCATGTTTTTACATAAATTAAACCACATAATTTATATAAAATATGCCCTGTTGATCCTCACGAACATAAAAATTGCAGGGATCTTATTTAAAACATCAGTTATTAAAAATCAATGCAATTTCACAACATAACTGAGGCTGGTAAATTAATAGCTACAGGCGGTTTTCTGATTTATGTTATATGGCATATTTTAAAGGAAATAACATAATATAGGACTTTGAAATGTCTTCTTTAATAGTTATTATTGTGTATATATGTGTTTTTTAAAATATGACAAATCTGAAATGCTACTTTTTACATGTCTCAGTTTATAAGACTCATTTTTTTATTCACACCACACCAATATCGCACTAAACCAAACGCTTTAGTGTCTGAGGATTTCCCCTTAATATATCTAGTTAAACACCCCGTGCTGCTCTGCCACAGTTCATTATCCAAAGTAGTGACAGAAATGAACTAGGAAATGTAAATTCTACTTTAAACAACACAAGGTCTGTTAAGGCAAATAGGGGGCAAGGGAGCGTGTGTGTGTTTGATCCCCTTGGAATTTGCACTTCAAGGTGAACTATTAGTGGTTAAGTAAACGGGTAATCCTCCTCAGCCCAGTAATTACACAGTGCCGTCTTCTTCATTACCTTGACTCTGTTCCACTTCACACCTCACCAGGAGATAGATGGAGCCACATGTGCATGTACAGTTACATACATACTCTAAACATACAAGGTCATTATCTTGGAAAATAAGTGTGAAAGCTAAGGCAAGATGAGGCTCTGCTTTTATGTGTCAAGGTTAATGGGAATATTCAGCCAGTGGAAGAGGTTTCATTGTTGTGGAGCTCCATTTAGTACAAAATTGTTAATCCACTGCTAATGTATCTCTTGAATAGCATGACTGAAATACATATTTTCTTCTTTAAATTAAGTTAAAATTAAGCCAATTAACTGTTGAATGTACAGAGTTCACAGGAGACACCAGGCCTCTCATTACTGTTGATTAAGATGGAGATATTTGGCATTCAGTCTGTGCAAACAAGTGAAAACAGAAGGTCCTTCAGTTAAATCCAAATTACTTTTAAGATGTTCATCGAATAAACTTTTGCAGCTAATTGCGAAAATATAATTAGATATTTTAATTTTAATGTTATTTTTTATTTATTTATTTTTAATAAAATAATGGGTTTGGGATGTTTAGCGTCAGTACAGTCTCAGTTTTGATACCAATAATCTGAACCGGTCTCAAGGTTAAAGTAAGACAAATCTGGGTCTAGGTGTATTGTAGAGCCCTGCAGTCCCACAAACTAAATATGAGTGTAAAGTAAAATATACAAAGGATGAATGTAAGTATATCATGCATAATTTATGCTGGATATTTTATTTGGGATTAATAAAAACATTTTAAGCAGCAGACCATCCCCTCTCCCATATGCCACGCAGACAGTCCCTCCTCCCGTACATACGCTGCGCCACTAAACCAGAACCAGAAATTACAATTCTTTGCGGGAGTGGGCGGGAGCGGGACTGAAAATTCTGTCCCGCACAGACCTCTAATGTATTGTACTGTATGTAGTGTAAAAATTATACATATTAGAATATATTGTCTCACTCCAGAAAAAAATATCAGCCAGAAGATTCGCACAGACCAGAGATGGGCCCAGAGTTCAGACTTGTGCTGTTCACTCATCACAACAGTCACATCTGAGGCTAAAGTATCAGACTGTAATGGCTCCATATCTGCTGCTCTATGGAGAATAAACAGGATGCTAAATGTATACGATAAAAAAGTTAGGGTTAGGGTTATTAAAAAGAGTGGCAAAGTATAGTGGTACTTTATCACAAGAGTCATTACTTTTATTTATTGATACTTTGAAGCTGATATCATCAACAATCTGTGGGAGTGTGTAGTTAACAGGAAGCACTACTCTGTTAGAAGCTCTGTTACTCAAGTGAGCCTTAATCTGAGCCTTTTTTAACACAATCTGAGCAGAGATCTGACTTCTCACAAAAAAATTAGTCAGTCACAAGTTCAGTAGCATTTTATTACTATTATTATTATTTATTTATTTATTTATTTTTTCAGTCACTCTCACCTTTTTATTGAAAATCAAACAGAACCATAAATGCTTGTATTGATCAGAGGTTGTTTAAATAAATTTTTTATTTTTTTTCTTGAGTTTTGAGACTATATAAAATAACATTTTTGGCAGTTTTTGCAAATGTATGCATTGTGTCACCACGGTAACTGTTGAACATTCTATAAATAGACATACACGTAGAAGCAGAACACCCCCATCATGATGTTACTGCAGATTATTAATAATTTGTCTTTGTTGTAATTATCAGAGGAAAAAAAACAATGTCTCAAAAATAGTCAGAAATCAAATCAGCACAACAACAAACTTACTAAAGCTTCTCTTTCAGATTAGCTGCAAGATTAATGCAAGATTTAGAACTATGTAGATGTGACTGCATTCTCAAATGTTA